CCCCCACCCCCTCCCTTGTGCTATCATAAATAGGTGCTGCAGATAGCGAGGCTCGTGACTCAAGAATCAGACAATGGCACAGCCAAAAAGCAGTTTATCAGGAAAATGAACCATTCAGATATGTACTTCATCGAGGAGGACATTCCGAAGAACGAGTCAGACGAAAACGCACATGTGGTGTGCGGTGATGTGGAAGGAGCAAAGAGAGATTGTCCAACAAGATGGCGAGCGATTCAACACTGGTTCGCAGAAGATCACATGGTCAGTAAACAATACCATTTGCGAGTTGCGATAGCGGTCAGTTGATTCAGGAAGCCAACGGCGTTTTAAAGCACCATACCATAGCAAGTAGTGGGTACCCTTCTCCAACTACCACTACATTAAAATAAATTAATGTGCAGAAAGATGGCATGAACTAGCAGAAACAATTGACACGTACAGAACCAGGAAACAATTAAGCAAAATTTAGTCCTAATAAATTTCCAGACCCTTCAGCATACAGCGCTAGGCACCGCTTTCAAAGGGCTTCTTTTAATAAGGTCTTGAATTCCAGTATCATTGTTTCCAACCTTTCCAATTACATATAGCTGCTGGCTTGGCATAATTATTGTTATGTAACATATCCTGCACTATGCTAACTACTTATGACCTCGACCGTTCGGTCTTTACGGGAAAATCTCAAACCGAGACCTTGTTTTATTGACCAACGATAGGGATTAAGATATGGTAAGGTTGGCTGTAGTGCGGCGGCAGATAGTGAAGATTGCTTCCGGTGACGTCATGACGCGCGCTTTCCCGCCGTAGCCTTGCTTTCTACTACGGGAACGTGCTTGGTTTCACGTACTCTTCACTACGTACGTTAGTATAAGTATACGCCCGCTGTTTATTTCTTATTTTAACGCTTTTTTCACTGTTTGAACAGCCTAGTTTGAAGATAAAGTTCTCAATCATAAAAATCAGTTCTAAGATTATTGTTTCTTTGTCATTTGTACAGAAAATTTGAACGATTTTAATACCTATCGCGAGATGATCAATTCAGTCATATTAGCATCGGGCCGAACAGCCGTAGATAAGAAAGCTTCGTATGCGCTAATCTGAGCTATAATTGTTTATTACTGTTCAAATGTATTTTATTATAATCGAAAGTTTTGTATTTTCGGGTTTATCACGTAATCGTTGTACGAACAACCTGTCCGTGTTGAAATCGAGCTTTTTTATATCAGAGTTTATATAGTTGTTTTGTGGTTGGAACTACAAGCGGTTCTATCAAGTTCTAAAAGGCAAATCTGAGTTCTGGGAGATGCAAGACGGACACAAAAGAAGGAGATCATTGTCATTAATCAAGCGTATTTCGTATGAAAGTAGAATAATCTCTGGTTTCCTTGAAAGTAGTCATTTTTGTAAAGACACGTAGAGACTGCACATACCGTTGCCGTACAGCAAAATCTTAATCYTTTGAGTTTGGCGGGTAAAACACCGTTGTCAGCCTAGTCCCTCACGGCCAAAGTAGCCGTAGTAGCACCTCGCCGTAGCGTATCTTAAAGTCCCTGATAGCAAGGTCAATACGGCAACGCTGAGGTTTGAAAGACCGAACAGTCGAGGTTAGTACGTTGTTCATTATATGCCTTTTTGCTTTGTTTTTGCAGGCCCTTTATCGGCCCGTGGGCATTACGGGAGAATAATGCCGTAAAATTAGGCAATCAGAGCGCGCGTTATATCGGCTACAAACACAAGCCATATAATAATTCCCGTTAATTTTTTTTCTCCTCCAGGTTTTCAGTCTTTTGGATCCCAAAACGATTGACATGTTCCATTTTAGTGGCCCAAAACATACAACACCTAATTGCCCTACAGAAATGGCTCTGGATTTTAACCCATCTGGGGGAGCCAGCTATTGGGGCGGTGACAAAAATTGCAGAGGCAACGCCCAGTATTATGTACCTTTCTTTTCGGCCAGACCTGGGCCCAAATACGAGGAGTGGAGTACGAACGCGCACGAAGGAAGGCCTGGGCACCACACACAAGTGAGTGTTGCCTAAGAAGCATTTACCAGGAATGGGAACTGACGTGACAGTAGAAATCTTTCTGCCAATCCAAAATAAAATTTTTCTCTGTTATTCAGTGTGTTATTTAATATGGTTAACACTTATCCCTGCCCTGTTATATCTCTGTTAAGCACGTTGCACGTTACGTAGCTTGCGTACTGTATTAAAGTGACACACCACTTATTATCTACTTGTTATTTTCAATCACATCTTCATTTCCTACTTAAGCCGCCTTTTCCTTTTTAGTGGACGGGGGCAGCTCATGTCCCACGTCTCATTACGTTTTGAAAGCTCAATGGTATGAAAGTTGTTTCTAGAAATTTTTGGCAGCTGTGGACGTCGATGGACCTTTTCTGTGACACGGTGGCCATTTTGAATCCTATTGTCTCAAATGGCTATTATGGGATGCTCAGGGGGCAAATACACACTGATTTGAACCTCGGGCATCCCATAATGGCTATTTAAAACAATAGAATTCAAAATGGCCGCCGTATCGCCGAAATGGTCCATTCCATTCTAAACTTGATACAGTAGAACTATTCAACGATTATGCTATGTTTATGTCAACAATATCGTGGTACCTATCACCCATCATGCTTTATGCGTTAACGATTGCATCATCGGACGTGATATGTAGACGTGACTAGCGGTTATCACGAATACTCGTCCTGCGATAAGATTTAAGTATGTTCGTTTATCCTGTTTATAATTAGTCTCGGGTGTACTATACACTGACATATTGACATATGGATTCTATCTTCAAACCAGATTCAAGGTCTGGAGGAACACTTCCGGGACAGCTGTGGTGGAATAATCAAATGGCTTGATTTAGAATCTTCCTACACCGCCTTTTCCGAGGGCTGGGGGCTGTACGCTGAAAACCCACTGATTGGTGAGGACACGGATACTTACGCGGATGAACCCTGGCAAAAATATGGCATGCTGAAATGGCAGGTTAGTGCCGGGGTTACTTTCCAGCTTTGTGGTATCTTCCTACTCAAAGGTTTCAACTGTTCTGATTCATAAGTGGACGTTGTGATTTGGGTCTGAAATTGGGTATGAATTGGTGAACAGGTTAGAGGTAGAAGGTCGGAAAATAGGTATGTGAAAAAAATAACGAAGACAGGACAGACCTCCACCCCTCCCCGCCCCCCCAAAAAAATTATTTTTAATATTAATAATAAATGCCATTAGGCGGTAAAGGCATCATTTAAGCCACGAGACAAGCAAATAATTACCATAACAAAATTTAACATGTCAAGAGAAAAGATAGTAACGTTAGCAACCTTGCGCTTGGTATTTACAGATCCAGGTGGACCACACGAAACACTGCATCTCTACTTAATCCATAGGAGATGAATTGTTCAAAGAATCAGTCAGTCAGTTTTGAGCTTTTGGTTGAAAATCTGTGAAACACAAAGTGTCATGTCATGTCGAAGCCAGAGGAAGAGGGCAAACTTTTTAATATTTAATTATTTGTAGCTGAAATAAGTGTATGTATTTCATGGGTATCAGTGCAAAAACACATCACAATCAGTAAAATAAACAAACAAGCAACAATAACACAACGTAACTTTGAAAGCCGCTTTTTTTTAAATCATAGAGGGTAACCGTTTCCTCGATAAGAGTGTATTAATGAACTTTTCCCTTGCTTCACTGTAGGTTTGGCGTGCCTTACGCTTAGTTGTTGACTCTGGTTTGCACTATAAAGGGTTTTCCCGCCAAAAAGCCCTGCAGTTCTTTGCAGATTACGCCTGGGACGAAAGTGACATCGCTTTGAAAGAAGTTACTCGGTACCAGAGTGCTCCCGGCCAGGCTACCGCTTATATGATTGGTCAACAGCATATTACGAAACTCAGACAAAACGCGCAAAGGGTATTGGGAGAAAAGTTCGATCTTCGAGACTTCCACTATCACTTGTTATCCCAGGGTTCCTCGCCTTTAAGTTACTTGGAGCAAAGTATCGACACTTACATCAATTGTGTCAAGAATGAAAAGGCTGCTGGATGTTTTGACATTCTAAATCCAGCCGTGAAAGACGAAGATGCAGAGGAAAATATCGATAACCTTGATCAGCCAAAGAGAGGGCGTCATTTCTTCTAACGAATTTATATGTTGTGCTTTTCTCAATAAGATTTTCTTTGAAAAGTAAAATTTTGTTGCTACTTTAATTCAGTTAACAGAGCATGGGTACTTTTGGATAGATTGAACAGTAGTGTCGACGACTAACCCATAAGAACTTTTCCGATAAAACAGAGTCACCGAGTGAGGCGACTCTTACCACATTGCATTCATGCCTTTCCCTGAGCCATTCCCCCGCTTGTGCACTTGTAAAAACCTAAATAACGAGAATTACGGCAACTACCCGGATTTTCATTTTGAGAGAGTCATTCACAGTTGTGGTACTGGCCCGTCCAGTAATTCTCATTAGTGGAATAGAGACGACAGAGCAAACCCATTAATACCTACTCCCTAACACCAGATAATAAACGCCTCGAGAAACTGGAATTAACAAAACTGCTTTAAACTTTATTACATTTCAAAGCAACCTAACAACTACACACATTTCTTTAATCCACGCTTACAGGTAACTTTAATTAAGAAGATGAAAAAGTTGCAAGAGAGCGTTCATATTTCGCAGGCAGATGGAGAAATCACTCTCACATCACCTCTAAGTCCAACTTTAAAATCAGACCATTTCTTGACATTCCCCCTCCCCCGGTGACACGACTTGAACAAGTTTGATACTTCACTTGCGTTGAGGACCCTGTTCCACATGTTCAGATCAGTGAGTTCTCCAATGTAGTTTTGAGTGGCGTCGAATCCTCCTCCAAACGAATCTTGCTCCTGCCCAATGATAAGGATTCCGTTTGTGTTGATCACGTGACCGGTCTTCAATCCCACTCCACTGGCTTGGGAGACACCATCTTTATAAATTTCCCATGAGCCGCCTTTGTTTTCCCATGAAGCACATATGTGATGCCAGAAACCGTCATTTGCAGAGATTCCCGTTTGGCTGAAATGAAAATAGAGCGTCAACTTTATATTCAGTTCTATACATCTCACCATTTTGAACGATGAATAAAAAAGTATAACTGTCCATAGCTTCAGACCAAAACTGATGGATTTAATGAAATTACCAAAAACAAAACATAATTTATCTTGCCAATTGATATCCAGATTTCTCTTTGGGATTAAAAGAAGCGATTCCCGTATCATTCCCTATTCCTCTTTTTAAGCGTATGTGAAGTGAGCGATTGTGCTGTTTCGTCTGATCCTCTAATACGCCAATAAAACGGCTGCAGACTTTCAAGTTCCTCAAGTTAAAAAAAAGTTGCATTTGTGTTTAAGAAAAAGGCCCAGGATCTTGCCTACGTGACACAGTTTTCAGCCCTTATTGCCAATTTTTTCTCAACCAGACTTCAACTTTGGAAACTTGTATTTAACAAGACGAAATTTCCAAATATTAATAAACTAGTTTACTTTTAAAAAATTGCGCGGTAAATCACATCAAGTCACGTGGGTCGATGGCTCCCTGGAACACAATTTTTCAAAGTTGCCAAATTTTTGAGTGTCACGAAGTTCTCGATTTTGGCGAAACTAATTCCCGGTGAAAGTCGTTAACAAACAATAAGGTAGATACTAATATCACATCATGAAAATTGTTCTACTATTTACAGTCTATATCTATATCTTACACTAGTTTGTAGTTGATCCATAACTGGATTTGAGACATCTTGTTGATTAAAATTTCATTGGCGTATATGGAAGTGCTGTAACTCACGACCGTGCGATCCGTTCCTGTCTTGTCTGTTGTACGCACTCGGAAGCACATGGTAAAGGCATCAGTTATTTGGAGGCCATGGTGGACGACATAGTCACTTGTACCACTTTTCGTGAAATAAAGATCGTATGGACTTTGGGGCACACCTGTCGGCACATATCAAATTCATTATTGGCTTTGATTAAATTATTGCATGGGAAGGAGGACATGACAATTAATCCCTGACCTATTCAGATATAACACAGCAGGGATTTGGTGACGAAAAAATCTGCCTGAACATACCCTTTGACGTTTTCCAGCAAACCTTGTCAAATATAATGTTGGCAAAAGTTTGTGTGGAAATAGAAGGCACTTATTTTTCGCAGTTCGGGCCTTTTGCTCTACCCAATACTCATGAGCAGGCAATTAAACTACACTTGCTAACTCATGTTAACCTTAAGAAATCTCACTGAATTTAATCGAGTATTTATGCTTGAAGCTTACCGCATTTGGAAGCGTGCAAATCTCCTTCAAGGAATGTGACATTATAGGGTGCTATGTCTGATTCAAACAACAGCAGTAACTGTAAGATGAAAAAAAAAAAAATACCAAAACAATAATCATCAATGTTTGTGATTGTTTAGCCATTAAATCAAAGAACTGCTAACTTAGAAATACAAATCCAAAATCTGTTGGTCAAGTAAATATATAAGTGTGCTTTTGGTACAGGATAGGAGCGGGTGCAATGTAGGGATAATATAACAGTTAAGCAAGACAAAATTACTCGCTGCTTGTAGACTACTTTACCACAATACCCGCACGGGTTTGAAAAATTTCACCGAAAGCCTTTACCCGCTACCTTATTTTTGTTAATTCACTTGGACAGAGTACAGGGCATACAGTCAATCTGAATAACCTTTGATCGCTATTAACGACTGAAAAGAAAGAACTTGGCTGAGATGCAAACTGATACTGGCTAAAACACATAAATCTTCACGTATGTAATGATATGTTTTCCTTAGTACCTTGAAGTGGATTTTTCCACCAGCTTTCTTTAGTTCGACAAGCAAGAATATTGTCACGTTGACAGGGCCTGCAGGTACCGGTATGGGCAAGGGAGATTGCTCCCCGTCCTTAAATGTATGCGACCACTTCATGGGAGTGCGAAATGTCTCCATGGTAACTGTGGCTCTGAGGGGTTGATGGCACCCATAAGCTTGTACAGTCATGACCATGTGGCCAAATGGCCCAGTACTGTCTGGCGGTGACGTGCATGTAACTTTGCTGCATTGGTCACTGAAGACGCATGTACCGTTACTTCCGTCAGGTGGCTGAATACCTGCACAATCGCCGTGAAGATTGTTTCCTAGATGAGTAAGTTGTCTTTGTCAGAATATTCTAATTGTGTTGGAGGTAAATTGATCGCTATACAGTGGAACGAGGGTCAAAAAAATCATTTCAAACCCTCACAGTAAAATATTGATATAAGTATTGTTCCCTTAATTGTTTTTGGATACCGAAAATTGTCCTAGAAGGCCTAGACCATTCGAACTTGTAAAGACCATATATTTACAGTCAAAAAATTAGCAACAGACAATTTAGAACTCGCTTTCCAACTTTGGAACCATGTTTCAGAAAGAAGGAAACCCTTGTCGTGAAACTCGGCTCGGGCTCCCCAAAATTCGTTTGCGCACGTCAAGTGCCCATTCGTCAAAGCATAATCAACCTCAATATTTAAAGGACATTTTAAAGGTTATATTAAACGGCGAATCTTGTTCTTGAAAATTAACCACACTCTACTTTAAAAACAAACTAATATTCGAAACATCTTGGTTCACATTGAGTTATCAAGGGCTCATACAAAAAAGACAATTTCATTGAGACGCCTGTTTGCCTTTATATCGGACTGACTTTTGATATAAATATGATCGTTACCTTGGCTGATTACTGACTTTACTAACCTCCTTGGATTTGAGCCTTTATTGAGGCCAGTTCTTCCTTCCATTCGTTCACCTCCTGTAACAGCTGGTTGTTTCCTTCGCACAAGTCACACTGATCATTACCATCCATACCAACATTGATTACTGGACGACAGTGACATGCAGATGGGGACTTGTTGTCGCGAGCTGCGCTTCCAGCTTGAAAAAGAACAAGCAAAGTGAAAATCGGATAGAAAGCTCCTGCCATCATCTTGAATACAGGGAACTTAGTTCTGGACTCCGTGCTGTCAAACGGGCTTATATCTCTCTGACCAATTGTAGTACTGGCGTTATCAAGGGTGCCAACCAATCAAGTCGTTACATTTTGTTTATTTTTCTGCCTGCTTCATATTTTCCANCTTTTCGGCCAGACCTGGGCCCAAATACGAGGAGTGGAGTACGAACGCGCACGAAGGAAGGCCTGGGCACCACACACAAGTGAGTGTTGCCTAAGAAGCATTTACCAGGAATGGGAACTGACGTGACAGTAGAAATCTTTCTGCCAATCCAAAATAAAATTTTTCTCTGTTATTCAGTGTGTTATTTAATATGGTTAACACTTATCCCTGCCCTGTTATATCTCTGTTAAGCACGTTGCACGTTACGTAGCTTGCGTACTGTATTAAAGTGACACACCACTTATTATCTACTTGTTATTTTCAATCACATCTTCATTTCCTACTTAAGCCGCCTTTTCCTTTTTAGTGGACGGGGGCAGCTCATGTCCCACGTCTCATTACGTTTTGAAAGCTCAATGGTATGAAAGTTGTTTCTAGAAATTTTTGGCAGCTGTGGACGTCGATGGACCTTTTCTGTGACACGGTGGCCATTTTGAATCCTATTGTCTCAAATGGCTATTATGGGATGCTCAGGGGGCAAATACACACTGATTTGAACCTCGGGCATCCCATAATGGCTATTTAAAACAATAGAATTCAAAATGGCCGCCGTATCGCCGAAATGGTCCATTCCATTCTAAACTTGATACAGTAGAACTATTCAACGATTATGCTATGTTTATGTCAACAATATCGTGGTACCTATCACCCATCATGCTTTATGCGTTAACGATTGCATCATCGGACGTGATATGTAGACGTGACTAGCGGTTATCACGAATACTCGTCCTGCGATAAGATTTAAGTATGTTCGTTTATCCTGTTTATAATTAGTCTCGGGTGTACTATACACTGACATATTGACATATGGATTCTATCTTCAAACCAGATTCAAGGTCTGGAGGAACACTTCCGGGACAGCTGTGGTGGAATAATCAAATGGCTTGATTTAGAATCTTCCTACACCGCCTTTTCCGAGGGCTGGGGGCTGTACGCTGAAAACCCACTGATTGGTGAGGACACGGATACTTACGCGGATGAACCCTGGCAAAAATATGGCATGCTGAAATGGCAGGTTAGTGCCGGGGTTACTTTCCAGCTTTGTGGTATCTTCCTACTCAAAGGTTTCAACTGTTCTGATTCATAAGTGGACGTTGTGATTTGGGTCTGAAATTGGGTATGAATTGGTGAACAGGTTAGAGGTAGAAGGTCGGAAAATAGGTATGTGAAAAAAATAACGAAGACAGGACAGACCTCCACCCCTCCCCGCCCCCCCAAAAAAATTATTTTTAATATTAATAATAAATGCCATTAGGCGGTAAAGGCATCATTTAAGCCACGAGACAAGCAAATAATTACCATAACAAAATTTAACATGTCAAGAGAAAAGATAGTAACGTTAGCAACCTTGCGCTTGGTATTTACAGATCCAGGTGGACCACACGAAACACTGCATCTCTACTTAATCCATAGGAGATGAATTGTTCAAAGAATCAGTCAGTCAGTTTTGAGCTTTTGGTTGAAAATCTGTGAAACACAAAGTGTCATGTCATGTCGAAGCCAGAGGAAGAGGGCAAACTTTTTAATATTTAATTATTTGTAGCTGAAATAAGTGTATGTATTTCATGGGTATCAGTGCAAAAACACATCACAATCAGTAAAATAAACAAACAAGCAACAATAACACAACGTAACTTTGAAAGCCGCTTTTTTTTAAATCATAGAGGGTAACCGTTTCCTCGATAAGAGTGTATTAATGAACTTTTCCCTTGCTTCACTGTAGGTTTGGCGTGCCTTACGCTTAGTTGTTGACTCTGGTTTGCACTATAAAGGGTTTTCCCGCCAAAAAGCCCTGCAGTTCTTTGCAGATTACGCCTGGGACGAAAGTGACATCGCTTTGAAAGAAGTTACTCGGTACCAGAGTGCTCCCGGCCAGGCTACCGCTTATATGATTGGTCAACAGCATATTACGAAACTCAGACAAAACGCGCAAAGGGTATTGGGAGAAAAGTTCGATCTTCGAGACTTCCACTATCACTTGTTATCCCAGGGTTCCTCGCCTTTAAGTTACTTGGAGCAAAGTATCGACACTTACATCAATTGTGTCAAGAATGAAAAGGCTGCTGGATGTTTTGACATTCTAAATCCAGCCGTGAAAGACGAAGATGCAGAGGAAAATATCGATAACCTTGATCAGCCAAAGAGAGGGCGTCATTTCTTCTAACGAATTTATATGTTGTGCTTTTCTCAATAAGATTTTCTTTGAAAAGTAAAATTTTGTTGCTACTTTAATTCAGTTAACAGAGCATGGGTACTTTTGGATAGATTGAACAGTAGTGTCGACGACTAACCCATAAGAACTTTTCCGATAAAACAGAGTCACCGAGTGAGGCGACTCTTACCACATTGCATTCATGCCTTTCCCTGAGCCATTCCCCCGCTTGTGCACTTGTAAAAACCTAAATAACGAGAATTACGGCAACTACCCGGATTTTCATTTTGAGAGAGTCATTCACAGTTGTGGTACTGGCCCGTCCAGTAATTCTCATTAGTGGAATAGAGACGACAGAGCAAACCCATTAATACCTACTCCCTAACACCAGATAATAAACGCCTCGAGAAACTGGAATTAACAAAACTGCTTTAAACTTTATTACATTTCAAAGCAACCTAACAACTACACACATTTCTTTAATCCACGCTTACAGGTAACTTTAATTAAGAAGATGAAAAAGTTGCAAGAGAGCGTTCATATTTCGCAGGCAGATGGAGAAATCACTCTCACATCACCTCTAAGTCCAACTTTAAAATCAGACCATTTCTTGACATTCCCCCTCCCCCGGTGACACGACTTGAACAAGTTTGATACTTCACTTGCGTTGAGGACCCTGTTCCACATGTTCAGATCAGTGAGTTCTCCAATGTAGTTTTGAGTGGCGTCGAATCCTCCTCCAAACGAATCTTGCTCCTGCCCAATGATAAGGATTCCGTTTGTGTTGATCACGTGACCGGTCTTCAATCCCACTCCACTGGCTTGGGAGACACCATCTTTATAAATTTCCCATGAGCCGCCTTTGTTTTCCCATGAAGCACATATGTGATGCCAGAAACCGTCATTTGCAGAGATTCCCGTTTGGCTGAAATGAAAATAGAGCGTCAACTTTATATTCAGTTCTATACATCTCACCATTTTGAACGATGAATAAAAAAGTATAACTGTCCATAGCTTCAGACCAAAACTGATGGATTTAATGAAATTACCAAAAACAAAACATAATTTATCTTGCCAATTGATATCCAGATTTCTCTTTGGGATTAAAAGAAGCGATTCCCGTATCATTCCCTATTCCTCTTTTTAAGCGTATGTGAAGTGAGCGATTGTGCTGTTTCGTCTGATCCTCTAATACGCCAATAAAACGGCTGCAGACTTTCAAGTTCCTCAAGTTAAAAAAAAGTTGCATTTGTGTTTAAGAAAAAGGCCCAGGATCTTGCCTACGTGACACAGTTTTCAGCCCTTATTGCCAATTTTTTCTCAACCAGACTTCAACTTTGGAAACTTGTATTTAACAAGACGAAATTTCCAAATATTAATAAACTAGTTTACTTTTAAAAAATTGCGCGGTAAATCACATCAAGTCACGTGGGTCGATGGCTCCCTGGAACACAATTTTTCAAAGTTGCCAAATTTTTGAGTGTCACGAAGTTCTCGATTTTGGCGAAACTAATTCCCGGTGAAAGTCGTTAACAAACAATAAGGTAGATACTAATATCACATCATGAAAATTGTTCTACTATTTACAGTCTATATCTATATCTTACACTAGTTTGTAGTTGATCCATAACTGGATTTGAGACATCTTGTTGATTAAAATTTCATTGGCGTATATGGAAGTGCTGTAACTCACGACCGTGCGATCCGTTCCTGTCTTGTCTGTTGTACGCACTCGGAAGCACATGGTAAAGGCATCAGTTATTTGGAGGCCATGGTGGACGACATAGTCACTTGTACCACTTTTCGTGAAATAAAGATCGTATGGACTTTGGGGCACACCTGTCGGCACATATCAAATTCATTATTGGCTTTGATTAAATTATTGCATGGGAAGGAGGACATGACAATTAATCCCTGACCTATTCAGATATAACACAGCAGGGATTTGGTGACGAAAAAATCTGCCTGAACATACCCTTTGACGTTTTCCAGCAAACCTTGTCAAATATAATGTTGGCAAAAGTTTGTGTGGAAATAGAAGGCACTTATTTTTCGCAGTTCGGGCCTTTTGCTCTACCCAATACTCATGAGCAGGCAATTAAACTACACTTGCTAACTCATGTTAACCTTAAGAAATCTCACTGAATTTAATCGAGTATTTATGCTTGAAGCTTACCGCATTTGGAAGCGTGCAAATCTCCTTCAAGGAATGTGACATTATAGGGTGCTATGTCTGATTCAAACAACAGCAGTAACTGTAAGATGAAAAAAAAAAAAATACCAAAACAATAATCATCAATGTTTGTGATTGTTTAGCCATTAAATCAAAGAACTGCTAACTTAGAAATACAAATCCAAAATCTGTTGGTCAAGTAAATATATAAGTGTGCTTTTGGTACAGGATAGGAGCGGGTGCAATGTAGGGATAATATAACAGTTAAGCAAGACAAAATTACTCGCTGCTTGTAGACTACTTTACCACAATACCCGCACGGGTTTGAAAAATTTCACCGAAAGCCTTTACCCGCTACCTTATTTTTGTTAATTCACTTGGACAGAGTACAGGGCATACAGTCAATCTGAATAACCTTTGATCGCTATTAACGACTGAAAAGAAAGAACTTGGCTGAGATGCAAACTGATACTGGCTAAAACACATAAATCTTCACGTATGTAATGATATGTTTTCCTTAGTACCTTGAAGTGGATTTTTCCACCAGCTTTCTTTAGTTCGACAAGCAAGAATATTGTCACGTTGACAGGGCCTGCAGGTACCGGTATGGGCAAGGGAGATTGCTCCCCGTCCTTAAATGTATGCGACCACTTCATGGGAGTGCGAAATGTCTCCATGGTAACTGTGGCTCTGAGGGGTTGATGGCACCCATAAGCTTGTACAGTCATGACCATGTGGCCAAATGGCCCAGTACTGTCTGGCGGTGACGTGCATGTAACTTTGCTGCATTGGTCACTGAAGACGCATGTACCGTTACTTCCGTCAGGTGGCTGAATACCTGCACAATCGCCGTGAAGATTGTTTCCTAGATGAGTAAGTTGTCTTTGTCAGAATATTCTAATTGTGTTGGAGGTAAATTGATCGCTATACAGTGGAACGAGGGTCAAAAAAATCATTTCAAACCCTCACAGTAAAATATTGATATAAGTATTGTTCCCTTAATTGTTTTTGGATACCGAAAATTGTCCTAGAAGGCCTAGACCATTCGAACTTGTAAAGACCATATATTTACAGTCAAAAAATTAGCAACAGACAATTTAGAACTCGCTTTCCAACTTTGGAACCATGTTTCAGAAAGAAGGAAACCCTTGTCGTGAAACTCGGCTCGGGCTCCCCAAAATTCGTTTGCGCACGTCAAGTGCCCATTCGTCAAAGCATAATCAACCTCAATATTTAAAGGACATTTTAAAGGTTATATTAAACGGCGAATCTTGTTCTTGAAAATTAACCACACTCTACTTTAAAAACAAACTAATATTCGAAACATCTTGGTTCACATTGAGTTATCAAGGGCTCATACAAAAAAGACAATTTCATTGAGACGCCTGTTTGCCTTTATATCGGACTGACTTTTGATATAAATATGATCGTTACCTTGGCTGATTACTGACTTTACTAACCTCCTTGGATTTGAGCCTTTATTGAGGCCAGTTCTTCCTTCCATTCGTTCACCTCCTGTAACAGCTGGTTGTTTCCTTCGCACAAGTCACACTGATCATTACCATCCATACCAACATTGATTACTGGACGACAGTGACATGCAGATGGGGACTTGTTGTCGCGAGCTGCGCTTCCAGCTTGAAAAAGAACAAGCAAAGTGAAAATCGGATAGAAAGCTCCTGCCATCATCTTGAATACAGGGAACTTAGTTCTGGACTCCGTGCTGTCAAACGGGCTTATATCTCTCTGACCAATTGTAGTACTGGCGTTATCAAGGGTGCCAACCAATCAAGTCGTTACATTTTGTTTATTTTTCTGCCTGCTTCATATTTTCCATGCGAGCGGATTGGGTATTTCTTTTAATCCTGTTACTGCACGCAACTGCGTAATTTCCGATCCGAAAAGATGGACCCTGATATTTTTGAGGCTATGGTACACAAGTTTGTCATGTTTTGATTTATGAAACTGTTACCTGTTCCTTCTCTTTGATGCGTACTCTACGAAAACTGCATGCGATTCTCTTGACATTGTTTGGATTGGTTGGATTTCATGTTTTTGCGATCCTTTGTTTTGTTGACTTATATCAAGTGGCCCTCGTGAATATCTGTAAAGTTCCTTAGTGCATGTGTAACCGTTCTTGCCGGGCCAAAAATCTAATGGATTTTTGGTTCAACAGTTAAGGGGGGCCATAATGCTTTGTAGTGTTAATACGTTTTCTGTTACCAAATAACTTAAAAGTACAGAGGGAAATGGACATTTACCGTCCAAAAGGAGTCGAAGCCGAGAAAGAATTACAGTTCAACCCCTATTAAACGGCCACCCTCGGGGAAATGAATAGTGGCCGCTAAAAGGGGGCTGGCCGTTCAACAGAGGTAAAAACAACAGAAACTGGAGTACTCATGGGGACTTTGATTACTCAGGGCCGCCTAATAGGGGTGGATGTTTAATGGGTGGCCCCTTAATAGGGTTTCGACTCTAACAAGATTTACTGATTCTTACAACTTCCATGCGGAAATTTTGCAGGACGAATCAGTCAACAAATAGAAATGGTTGCTTGTTGCCTTGTGACTGTTTGGTTGCGGCATTTGGTAATTTTCCAAGACGTGAAGTTAGTTTTTGTCTGACTAAAAATGTTTTTGAGCTTTATTTTATAGTTATAACGCTTGGGGTCGGGAGGTGGGGAACTTCGATTTTTTTTTTTTTTTTTTTCGCTTTCAAAGAGAGTACAACCTAATTTTTAGCTCTACCAGATTCATTGAGCAAGATATCTTCTTGCTGATTATAGTACAATTCCTAACATGAGTTTTCTTTCGTCTTGAGTAATGTAGACCAAAGACCGCTCTTTAACACCCCTAGCCAAATTAACAATCAACACTTAATTAACAATTAACATCTTACATTCGTTGCAATT